ACTACTACCACTACTACTACCAGCACCACTGCTACCACTTGTTTTGTAGTTAATTCTTGGTCACAGGATTCCCATGCACCAAAAGATACATTGCGAGGCGTCTGGGTCTGTCCGACCGTGCGATGCGAGACTCTACAATCAGCGAATCAGCTCACTCACGATCACCTGAAGCGGTTCAGGGTTCCTGGTTCAGGTTCTAACCCAGCAAGATAAAAAGCTTAAATCACTCCCATAAAGACTTGTAAAGCCTACTTACAAACCCATATAAAGCTCTAAGCCTCTTTCAAGCTTTAGGATTTCGATGATTCTTGAAGCCTTGTGGGCGCTGCGTGAGCCCGCAAACCTGCGGTTCCTGAATACTGAAAGTCTGCGCAGAGGGTTCCGGGGCTTCGGCTGTGGGGGTTCAGGCTCCCGGCTTTATGAGTCAACTAATATAGGGGCCTTAATGTTTAGAATAGGGCTTTGGGGTATATTATACTATAACTATAATCAGGAACCCCCCAAAATTGTATCGATAAGTATTTATGAGCCCCTATATTAGGGTTCTTGTTGGGGAATTTACGTCACCATAACAAGGAAACCATCTTAATAACTGTAGATCCCCATCGTGGTAGCTCGAACTAAGGTCCTTAGCCAGAGCTCGGACTAGGGTTCTGGCCTGGTTTAGGGTTTAGGGTTTAAAGTTTAAAGTTTCAGGTTTAAGGTTTAGGGTTTAGGGTTTAAAGTTTAGGGTTCGGGGTTTAAAGTTTAGGGTTTGGGGTTTAAAGTTTAAGGTTTAGGGTTCCAAAAACAACAGCAGATCGGCCGACTCTTCAGAGCAGTGGCCCAGGGTCCTCTGATCATATCGGAGGATTAAGGGTTTTAGGGTTTAGGGTTTAGGGTTTAGGGTTTAGGGTTCCCGGAAGCCCTAAACCTGAGACCGTGTTAGACCAGGATTTTAGCATTATGGGGCTCTCGAATATGGAAGTGTTTAAAGATTTTGGGGTCTTTTTTTGTATTGTGGCTACATATGGGTAGTTTTCTCAATCAGGGTAACAAACAGGAGCACAAACGGGACTCTTTTGCAGAACTACCCGTAAGGAGCATAAGTGAAACCCTAAGCCCTAAATCCTACGCCCTAAGCCCTAAGCAATAAACCCTAAACTCTAAACCCTAAACCACCCTACACCCCTAAACCCCTAAACCCCTAAACCCTAAACCCTAAACCCTAAACCCTAAACCCTAAACCCCTAAACCCTCAACCCCTAGAGCCCTAAAACCCTAAACCCCGAAACCAATCCCTTAGGGTTTAGGGTTTAGGGTTTAGGGTTTAACCCTAAACTCTCAACCCTAAACCCTAAACCCTGAATACGGCAGTATACCTGAGACCCTGATCTTCCTGGGCGCAAGTCAGAAAGCGACAAGCAAGACAGCGCTGCTCAACTTCCGAAGCTCCTGTCTGCTGTAGGGTTCGGGTTTTAGGGTTTAGCGTTTAGGGTTTAGGATTTAGGGGTTGTGTCAATATTCAAGAAGCCCCTGAACCTTACCATCTAGAGGCTTGAGCAGGTTTGAATGTTGCATACGATAGGTGCGCTAAGAATTTTCACAAGATGTCCGAAAAGCTAATACTGAGGTGCTCACGTGATGAGCTGCGACTTGCAAGCACCTTCGCCTGCACCTGCAAGGACTTGTCGCTAAGGATTTGGCGGTTTCGGGTGTAGTGTTTAGGGTTGTCAAAGATTTGTTTTGGTAATGTAGGGGCCTTAATACTCAGAATAGGGTTTTGGGGTATGTTATATTATAAACGTAATACAAGGAACCCCTAGAATAATAAATAAATTATATATATATATAGATAAGTAATTATTAAGGCCCCTAGATTACTGCCAGCGGGAGTCAGGGTTCAGAGGTTCAGAGTTCTAAGATTTCGGGGTCTGAGCTGTAGAGCCACGACTGCAAGCCATGAACCTCTTCAGGGGCTACCTGGACCCCAAATATGGGGTTTAGGGTTTAGGGGTTTAGGGTTTAGGGTTTAGCTGAAAAATTTCGGGTTCCTTACTATAGTTTCTTTATATAAGGGACAGCCCAACGTCGCAAGCCAATATACTGTGGCGTCTTCACGGTTCGGCTTTGATATTTAGCTTTGCGAGTTTCGAGCCGAGAGTTACAAAGCGATTTAGGTGTCAAGGGGGTCAGGATTTCGAGTTGAACGTTGTTTTTGTTTGGCCGCTTAGGTTTCAGGTTTCAACGGCCTGATGCAGTCCTTGTAATTCTGGTGCATGCAAGACAGCATACCGCATGCAGGTCGCAAGAGTATGGCTTTTGGCCCTAAACCCTAAACCCTAAACCGCGGACCCTGAACCCTAAACCCCCAAACCCTAAACCCGAAACTGGGGCTTGTCAGATTTAGGTTCTAGGGTTAAGGGTTTTCAATTGAGGGTGTACCTTCTAGACCCTGAAATCTCGTGCCTCCTCAACGCCGGGAACTACAACGGGGGCGTGGGGGGAAGTAGGGCTTTCGGGGCATGTGTAAGCCCTATAAACCCTAAACCCTAAACCCTAAACCCTAAACCCTAAACCCTAAACCCTACTCTTTCAGCCCCCAAAACCCTGAAACTCGAAACCCTATACGCCGTATTACAGGGTCTTTGGGTCCATGTCGGCCTTTCGGAGTGAATTGAGGCCAGATCGCGTCTAGGTTCAACTTACAACATTTTTGCTTCAAGGAGATTCAAGGCAAGGCTTCCCCTGTCCCAGATATGAACCAAACCATTCTGAAAGACCTACACCCCACCTCATCCCAACACACCGACCCCACCACTCTCTTTCACAGGGGCCATGCCTTCTCCTGCAGCTGGCCGCAATTCAGACCCAGCAACACTCTTGTCAGAACACTCTCTTTGTGGGGAGGAAGGCTGACCACTTCGTCAACGAACTGACGGTCGACCCCGTTGCTGACGAAAGGTCTCGGGAGATAGCGATGCTCTTCGCCGTTGCTGATGGCGAAGTGACCTTCCGAGGCCTCGTACACCCTCAGCGCCGCCAGCATCTCCTCTGTCGCAGCACGTGCCTCCTTCACAGCTTTGAGCAGCTCGCGGGGGTTGTCTTGGATCAGCAAGACTCGCAGCAAGAACATGGACACGCAAACGATGCAGCTCAGAGGCCTAAAGCCTAAACCCCAAACTACCCCAAACTACCCTGAACTACCCTAAACTACCCTAAACTACCCGAAACTACCCTAAACCCTAAACTGCTCAGATATGTTATGCAAAAAAAACACCAACCCAAATCCCGAACCCGAGACCCAAAAGCCGAAGACCGTCAAAAACAGTGCGGATTTAGGGTTTAGGGGTTTAGGGTTCAGGGGTTTAGGGGTTTTGGGCTTTTAGGGGTTGAGGGTTTAGGGGTTAAGGGTTTAGGGTTTTAGGGGTTGACGGTTTAGGGTTTAGGGGTTTAGGTTTTACGGGTTCAGGGTTTCAGGGTTTAGGGGCTTTGGGGTTCAGGGGTTTAGGGTTAAGGGGTTTAGGGTTTAGGAGTTTGGGGTTTCGGGTGTCACTGGCTGGCCTGATGTAGCACGGTTGGGAAAAAGGAGCACTTGATACCTCGCCAGGTGCTTTGCGCTGTTGTTGAGCCGGATGGTTTAGGACCGATGCCATGCTTTGCGAAGCCTTTTTGCTGTGTTTAATCACTTAAAGTAATGGGAATCTACCAACTCAGAGCAAAGCTAAGACTCAAACTCCCCAGACCCTAAACCCTAAACCCTAAACCTTACCTGTAGCACCGAAACAACTCAAGGGATTTTTGGCATAAGCAACCCTGACGAAGGATGGTTCTTTGGATTCAGGTAGACACAGAACGCGAAACCCTAGGCCCAACAACCATTTGGGACTTGAGTTTGTCGTACTCTGTGAACATTTTGTATTAATATTTTTTTTACCTTAACTTGCAGCTAGATGAGTGCGCAAGTCGTCGGTGCTAACCTACTTCCTTCTTCATGCTACAGCTCACTCCGCGTCAATATTTGTATGATCACTGAACAATATGATCTTCCATTCTGTAATCCTTAGCGGTGACACAGCCCTCTTCACACTGAGCCGATTCACACCGAGCAGTTCACATTGAGACTTCATGTTTCAATTATCTGGTTGTTGTATCTTTAATGCGTCCACGCTGCTTCACAAAACTAATATATTGTCTAGAATTCCGTTTATACTTATAGTAAAATATTATGCCTCCCTTCTCAGCAAACAGCACTCATCTTCTTCTTAATGCCCCGGTATTTTGGTTGTGGGGCCTGAGGAACGGATGTTCGGGCTGCAGCCCAGCCGTATGATTCAAGGCGTTTAAGGTTCAGGATGTTAGGGTTTAGGGTTTAGGGGTTTAGGGTTTAGGGGTTTAGGGTTTAGGGTTCAGGATTTTAGTTCTGCGAGGGCTTTGAGGCTCTAGGTTACTTGGGGGTCTCCTGCGGAAAGTGGTGAGGGTGAAGGGCTCAGGAATTCGTCATTATCAGGATCGTGCTGGGCCACGTGGTTTGCATGATTGCGAGTGTGTTGTCGAAATGCAATATAGGGGCTTCAATTAATAATTAGAACAGTGTTTTTTGGGATGTATTATACTATAGTTATAATAAGGAGCCCCCAAAATAATGTTGGTAATTCTTGAGGCCCCTACATTACACTTCAGCTCGCAACCGCAAAACCTGCGAAGGTCAGCTTTCTTACGGCTTGCAGGGTTCATCTTCGCCGTCAGCTCCTCCATCTCCGTCTTTCCCATGGGTGCGGATGCCATAGTACTGTTGATGATATAAAAATGAATTGTCTTAAGGTCCCTAAATTATGGGAAACATAGATAGATAATGCAGGATTTATATCATCAACCGTAGGAGTGGCCTCCGCAATCTCAGTGATGCGCCGGCGCACCTCCATTCTGGGCCAGCTCCATAATATACTGGGCCAAAACCTGACAGCCTTACATAGCCCTATGCATCCAGGGACCTACACAGGCCCCTTGGAAGCATGGGGTAGTATGATATGTTGAGCCCTATCGTGTGGTATCCTACATTTATATGTGTCCTTAGACCCTCGGCATTAAGGTGATTGTTTGGTTTAGCGCCCACGAGGAAGCGCTGAAATCGAAGCCAGTAGGGTGGCACAGTCACATACACCTCTGACGGACAATGCTAAGGTTCTTCATTACGGGGGATCCCTACCCATCCCTTGGGCTGTGCTGTTCCGTCCGTTTTGTTTGTGAATAGGGTTGATTTGGTTTGCCTAAACCCTAAAGCCTAAGCCCTAAAGCCCTAAAGCCCTAAGCCCTTAACCCTAAAGCCCTAAGCCCTAAAGTGATCTCTGGTCCTGTCACCCTCGTCATCACAGCAACTGCACTCTTAAGGTGTAGAAGTACAAGGGCGGAAGTGTTGAACCGAGAAGGGCCTCTGGTATGAAGCCATTTTCTGGCATTTAGGCAGTCCTTGGGTTATGTTTAGGGTTTACCCATAGGCCCTAAAGTAGTTCCTTTTGGGGTTCATATTCAGAGTCCTATTAGGGAGTCCCAAAAAGGAACTACTATGGGGCCTATGGGTAGGGTTTAAGGGATACTTCAACCAGAAGGCCGCAGTTCTACGAATCCCTGAATGGGAACTAGGATTAGGGGGACCCTTGGGGAAAAAGACCCTCTCAATAACGTCCCTTTTAAGAGAGCCAGAAGTAGGGTTCAGACGGGGTACCCTTTAAGGGGTACCTCTAATAATACTACCTACTGAAGCCGTACACAAACCCAAGGCCTTTGGTGTGGATGTCCGCCATCAGGGCCATAGCCGTGCTTGTCAGAACGAGCAGGTAGATCATGGGGCAGCCTCCAGTTTCGTAGTCTTCAGGTTTGTCCACTAAGTATATACCCATAGGCCCCATAGTAGTTCCTTTTTGGGGTTACCTTATAGGATTCTATAGATGAACCCCAAAAAGGAACTATTTTAGGGCCTATGGGTAACCCTAAACCCTAAAGCCTAAGCCCTAAAGCCCTAAAGCCCTAAGCCCTAAACCCTAAATCCTAACCCCCAAAATCCCTAAACCCTAAACCCAAACCCTAGAAGTCTGGCGGTCAACAACAGGCTTCTGGTTCAAATAGCTCCTTTTTGGGTGTTCATATATAGAATCCGAGAAGGTAACCCCAAAAAGGAACTACTATGGGGCCTATGGGTATCAGGGGTCGCTGTTTGTTTCGGGCTCGCGACATGCTCCTTCTTTGGAGCTTCGACTTAAGTAGCTTGGAACGGCCCTTTTTGTGTTTAGGGTTTAGGGTTTAGGGTTTAGGGTCAGAGTTGAGGAAGTTCTGGGATTGGGCGGCTTGGGGTGCGCAGTCGGCAGGTTTGAGACATCGGACTCCCCAAAAACGTAGAAGAGCAACAGCAAGAGCAACGAGTAAGAGTTCTCAGGCCGAGAAGGGCAATGTCAATAACCATAACCACGGCAACCACAAACACATTTTGACGAGAAGGAAGAAGAATCAACGCTTTGAGAAGCTTAGCTGCTCGCGACTTGGGACTTAGGGCCCTCGGTTCACTAGCAAGCGCTTCAGATGCGAAGGAACCCGAACTGCCCGAAACAAAAATTACCAGAGACAGCCCTGCAAGTGCCCCTGCCTAGCAGGCGCTGCATGGAGCCATAGAACTCAGAGGTCACAACCACCCCATGTAGGCCGGAAATGTACCTTTGGTAACTTTCATATTGGAGTTTCTTGTTGGATGAGCTCCTGTTTGGCTTTGGCTTGAACCTGGTGCGGTTGTCCATTGCGGGGTTTGGGGTAAACCCGAACCCTAAACTCGCTTCTCTGTCGGGATTTGGCTTGAAGGTTCGAAACACCAGACCCCTACCATTCCCATCGCCTGAAGTGGCGTCTCCAACTGAACCTCAAGACCCTGACCCCCACCCTAAACCCTAAACCCTAAATACAGGGTTTAGGGTCTAGGGTTTAGGGTTTGACCAAACAGACCTGCGTCATAAAGCCAGGGCATTGGATTCAGGAGATGGGGCGCGGCTACGGGGCTTTTATTGGGCTTCAAAGGGGCTGTACAGCAATGAGCAGACTAAGGTTTGGTGCGGGAAGGGTTCCGACAAGACGAATCCGACTATGTGAGGGCTTATATAACCCTAAACCCTAAACCCTTAACCCTAAACCCTAAATCCTAAACCCTAAACCCTAAATCCTAAACCCTTAAAGGGCTTCCGAAGGATGGTATATCAGAAACCTCGAACCCAGACATGGCCGAGAAATCTCCACAAGAGCCCGTAGAAACCTGGTGTCAAAATCAAGTTCAATCCCTAGAAGCCCTCTTAAACCCAGAACCCTCATACACCCTAACCCTCCAGGTACCTAATATATAGGGCC